AAAAATATGGTACATATTAAAATAATTTATGAACAAATTCATTTTTAGTTTGGTTTTTTTATTTTTTTCCGAAATACGGGGAATTTCGATGATTCGACGCGAGGTGCGAGGTTAAGAAAGAAAGAGGAAGATAAACGGAAAGAGGAACCACGTGTCATCGATGGGAAAATAAATAAATTTCACTGGCTGTGCAACGATAAAGTGCAGAACACCATAGCCTACCTCCTTGTTTACGTCTCACCGCTCTTTTCCAAAAGAAATGGCCTACTTAACGACGGAAATAATAATTAGTGAATGTGTCGACGTTTAATGCGCGGTCCGGAAATCCCCGGGGCCACGAGACTGGCACGCGTCCTTTGTGTATCCTTCTTCTAAACAACATTCTATTCTCCCGATATCTACCTCGCTATGTTACACACACACATAAACACATATTCTATCCGTGTGCAAAAATAAAATTAAAAGATATTTAAAACATAAGCGACTTTTAAAATAAAATACTTTTTATATAATAATTTTATAAAAGATGCTTTGATGGCATTTCGATAATGTTGATTCTTTTTTAAGTGCGATTTTGTGCATTAAAGTAATAATCAATAAAATATATCTGAAAATTTCATATTAAAGTTCTCTTGATTAATTATTCATTTCATATATATAAAAAGATGTATTCTTATGCTTCTATTTTCAATTATTTGCAATTGAAGTTATTGTACAATACGTATACCAATTAGAATTAGAGGCTTTATAAACTAACCGCGTAATTTTTTTTATTTTGTGATAATTATAGAATTATTATTACATTATATTATAATTTAATTCAGTTGTTTTAGAATCAAGAATGCAAAAGATATATTATTTGTTTCAAAGATAAAGTATCAAAAGTATCTTTCTAAGGATGATTGAAAGGAATCCGGGCGGTGTTCGATCCAGTCGCATCTTCCAAAATGAGACTTCGAGTGTTCACCGGCCGAAAAGAGCTCGAGTGCACTCACGACTTACTGGGTGTCCTGCGGTTTCCCACAGCGCGGGGTAGAAGAAGTGATTAGAGGCGATTAGAAGGTGTTCTGGATTGCATCCCACCACCGCAAAAGCGACCGGCGACGGCCGCTGTATTCTTGCACCCCGTCGTCAGTCGCCTTTACGTCATCCCCGAGAGTCGAGAGATATCCAAAAGGGTGGATCACCCTTGGTTTTGCGCCTGATGCCTCGCATACACAAAAGAGCTTCAGAGTCAATTACGTAATTATAACAGAAATTAATACATATGATAATTTAATTTTGATACTGAAATAAAAAGTAAATAGTTAACAAAGTTTACTACATCATATATGAAGAAGCAACAAAGTAAATTATATAATAAATACATAATATTAACAATAATTTACAAATTATAATAATTAAACTTTTATTTAAATAAGAATATCAACAGATTTAATAAAATTTCTAATTCTAACTTGTAACGTGCAATAATTTTTATATCAAGTTTTGATGTAAATAATAGAATTTTAATTCTTAATTAATTTCAAGTAAAACTTTAATAATATTTTAATAGTTTAATAATACTTTAATTTCAAATTTATAGCATTAAAAATTTTTTTTTTTAAATTCAGAAGGTTCCTCGACTAAATAAAAAATTTATCTTTAACATTATTATACATTGTACGCGAATTATCTTACGTGTAATATTTGTTGATGCCAGCAAATAAATTTAATTAATTATTACACTACACTGCTAGAACTCTCTTCAAAATGCTCGATCTGCCACTGCAGATGCTAAAATAGCAGAGGGGTAGGAGAGAGGCGATGCAGGAAATCAGGGGTCTCGCACAGGACGAGGTAATTCTTCCTACACGCCAGATCCCCACGCACACTTCTCATCTCTAGACTATCATGATTATTACTTAATAGATATCGCCAGGCCACAAGGGAGACCCTTATCATCGCGAGTTATATTCCGGTACTTGCCCCTTCCTTCCTTTCATCGTGCCGTGTCCTGCGCACCTCCGCGTCGAATGGCAACGCCAGGATCCCCGGTTGGTTTCTACCCGCCCAGCCCTTAGAAAAGGGCTGTCGGTTGAAAGAAAGCCGCGAGAGGGGAGAAAGTTTGGGATACGCCGATAATCATCTTTATACACGATTTCGCCGATTGCATTAATAATAATTGGATTTCAAGAGTTTTTTAAATGTTTCTTTACTAAATTCGTTCTCTCTTCTAGAGAAAAACTTTAAAATCAGATTCTAATACTAATAGTTTATTTAATATAGACAATGAAAAATAAATGAAGATTTTTTATTTCGATAGAAATTTAACAATTAAAAAACGTTCACAGAAAAATCCTAACTAAATTTTAAAAATTGTCAGGATTACCAGAACATATATTTCTTAGTTTTTAAATTTATTTTGTATCAATTTATTCTTTCTCTATGCGTTTATATGAAATATATACAACACGCGATATTAAAACGCTGCGTTCATGACGAATTTTAGAATTTCGATCTGAGTTTATCCGAAATAGAATCAAAGTAAGTAAAAAAACAAAAATGGAAGTCCTTGGCTTCCGAACTCGAGGACTTTGGCGATTTCGAATACGTAGCGCCGGTAGATAAATCCTCGCTCCTCGAAAGCGTCTAACCCCCGGTAAAAGTGGTTCACGAGGAAAGCGCGGTAATCGCGGTCGCCTGGCATCAAAGAGAAGAATTAGTCGTCCTATAAGTGCTTCTTTTAAACGCGGCATTTCCTTTTGACAGTGTATCACCACCAGCGACTGTGTCAAGAAACTCCTGCCGGCGTTTGTCGGTGGACTGGCAGCCGGCCACTCGACCAATCACTTTCTCTGATATCTGCTACGAGAGGCCAAAAGAAAAAAAACGGAAGAGTAGAAGGATTATCGATCACAGAGAAATGCCGGAAAGACGATGAAATTTTTCGAAATACAGTAACAATTATTTTTTAATAAATGATGATTAGTGCACGAGAGACCAAAATTGTTTTGTGTTCTCACTATATATATATATTTATCGCTGAATATGTCTTTCTCCTGTCATCATTGATATTAAACGCAATTTTTATATCAAGCAGATAAAATTTTAAATGAAAATGATAAGCCTTTGATATTACATATGCGACAAAGATATGTTAGATAATAATATTTTTCATATCTTTATTTTAGCCTTTCTTTTTTATAAAATTGTAAATTTGACGCGATCGCAATAAAACTTTTTAAGCGCGAATTTTCATTAATTAATATTTGATCTTTTTGGTTAATTCCCTACTTAATAGCAAATGTTTGACAAATCGAGTTTATGCGATTAGATAATAAGAAATAATTATTCGGCTATTACACATTGGCATCTGGTTTCTCTCGGAAATAAAACCAGACGCCTGCCCTTATCACGAATAATGTATTCACTTTTTTTTTTATTCGCTTGTCATAAATTGTTTCGATCTTGTATGCCGCATAAATAATTATACAAAACATACTGCTCTATAAATTTCCAGGGATAAAAAAAAATCGTAGCGTGTTTTTTTTTAAATCTGAGGAGAAAGAATTATACTGTGTTACAATAAAAAAATTTTTGTTTCACATATTTTCGGGTTAATTGTGACGATCTAAAACTGGACAAAAATAATTTTAATTCTGTACACGGGAACCGGATGTTGTTTCTTAATTGAATAATTGTCGTAATCAGGCGCAAATTGCCTTGTTAAGAGGTGGAACAAGAAGGAAACAGGTGCCGACTTATTTATGCGAACAGGTTGTTAGGGGTAAAGTCTCGCGGGACCATCGTACGCTACCGATTTTCCCGTGAAGTCTTTTTGACTTCGGTGTCGGATGCTCCCGGTTGTTTCGTTTTTAACCCGAGAAACCGTAGCGAGGGGAAGCTTTTTTTGTCTCAAAAGGTCAATACATATAACGGCGGATACTATAAGCTCGTTTGCATGTCGTCGTTCGGGAGAAGAAGCATATCAGTGTAAAAGTAGATTGACCCGTTACCTTTTTAGCGTATTACATGACGACCCGATGTCATTATTAAATGGCGTTTAACGCCGTCAAAATTGAAACATCGTTATCGCCGGCAAAACAAATAAGACGGGCACAAGCTAATGATATATTACTTGAAATTTTGTGATAAGAATAAAAATGAAGATAGAAATTAAAACAATTTTTCTTCTCATTAAAGATCAACAATTGAATTAATATTCTCATATTTTTTTAGCATTTATAACTAACATTAATTTTCTAACTATTAAAATTAATTTTATTAAATATTCGATTAAATAGACATTTTTTTAAAAGTCAATATATATCAAAATTTAAATTAAAAAATGATCTAAGTTATAATAATAAATTGTGTGTATCTAAAATTTAGTTTATACCAATAGTTTATTAAAATCTAGGAAAAAAACTTAAATCTTCAACACGACGGAGAGAAAGATAGAAAACAAGAAAGAGAGAGAATATTTAATTTAGAAAATATTTAAGCTGAGAAAAATATTCGCTTTCAAATTAGAAAATATTCAACGAAATTTTTCCTTCCCTTTTAAGTGAATTTACGATGCAGAGAATATATCTCGTGCACTCCGTGCGCCTTTCATCCAATTTGCGTCGCAGCCTCACGCCTATCTCGCGCCGATATCTCGCGACTAATATTATTATATCGTGGTACAGCGTCTGAAGCATCTCGCGTTGGCTCGAATCGATTGGCAAAAAGACGAGCACGACGGTGATGGCGATACGTCGCGAATCAAGCCAACGGTCGGCGACGGAGGGAGAACGAGGCCGAGGAACGTCATACCCTAAATCATACCCCACTTCGCCCTGTCCGTCGACGGCGAACTCCCTCAATTTACTAATTGAATACCGGGGGTCCCCTCACAGAGGCGTAGACCAAACCGGGCTCCGCCCGTTTACGAGATCGGGTCATGACAGACCCGGGTCTGGGTACACCCACTCGTAACTCGCGTCTACTACCACCGACGACGAAGCGGTGAACGCAGCCGGGGGTTCCGCACCGAGAAACAGATCGGTACCGCACCAAATCCCGTTTTGTCAGTGTCATTTTGGCTGCACGTCCGAAACCGCATCGCGTCATTCGACAACGAGACCGACCGAGAATATAGCGACTCCATCGGGCGAGCGTCAGAGTCGTCCGAGGGTGACAGTTTGCGCTGAAAATTCGCGAGACGACATTTAGGTGCGAGTTGATGAAGAGACGCGATCGAGAAATAGAAAACGAGTTTGATAGTCAAAGATAATAGATTAAAAAAATACATATCAATTGATAAGTTTCCGGAATGGGATCCCAGTAAAAGCCAAGCAAATATTGCGAGAGAGATATTGTAAAATATAATAATCACAAAAGGAAGAGAGAGAGAGAGAGAGAATAAAAAAAATAATTAGTATGAAAAAATATATCATAAAATATGATAACCGGCAATAAGTTTCATTCCGACGACATTTAAATGGAAATTGAAGATCTTCGTATTCGAGAAATATAAAAATAAAAAATAAATAATCGAAGATAATAATTGGGCAATAATTTTCGTTTGTTTGATAAAAATTAAAGAGACTTTCGTGATCGAGGAATACAACAAGGTATAATAATAGGTTTTATAAATTGGAAATTCGAAGTGAACACACACACACACACACACACATTTTGTGAAGTTAGTGAATTGAAAAGACCTGACAGTGATAATACCAGACACCATGCTTGGTGGATACGAGGCGCAGACAGAGTACTATCCGCAATGGCATCAGCCATATAATTATGTCACTCAGCTTCCTTACGGTAAGCGCATATATAATCTTAATATTAACAATACTGATTGTTTAAAAAAATTAATTTAACTATATAACAAAGTATTTTCTCTTACAATTTTTTCGGGAATATCATTGATTCGCAAAATTGCAAATTATATAAAATTGTGTAATGTAGTTTTCAAACTATGCTCAGAATAGAGGTCTTTCTGTTAAAGGGATTATTATTAAAGAGAATATAATTTATATTATATATATGTAATATACAATAGATAATGACGTGCATGGATTATATTACTATACGAATATTAAATAAAAGATATATCGATGATTTAGATCTTGGATTATAGTCTATGTATTTTACGTTACAAGTATTTCTCCTGCGTTTGCAAATTTCTGAAATAAAATTTATTCTCTCAAATTATTTAGAATATTATTTTTTACATCCGCTGTAATATATAAATTTATATTATGTATCGCCATAGAATGTGCATTGAAGAATATTAATTTCTATACACGCGTCTAATGAAATAATCTATTTTACATAAAATCAAGGATGGAAAAATTTTGTGATGACAAAATTCGATTTTCCAATTTGCATGTAAGAGGTTGACTTTATTGTCGCTTTTCTTATCATTTTTTTTTTTTATTAATTCGTAGCAATGTTGCGGACACTTAATAATGAAAAAAACGTAGGAGATTGAACTAATAGCTTTTAACGAAAAGAATGGCCAGTAACAAAATTAATTAATTATTGGAGAAAAGTTTTTACTAATAAATGCAAATTTTACTAATAATCTCGAAGAAAACTGAAATTTAGGCTTTATTACTTAAAGAAACATCATAGAATAATGTAGCTCAGAAATTTATCAATTCTTTAAAATTGAACAGATTAAGAAACGTCATGTTTCTTTCCACATTCTCGCGCTTGGTTATCTTCTGTCAAGAGCCTCCGGAAATTATTAATTCCAAAAAAATTACTATCTCTACCTCGAAAATTATAAAACAGACGAAAAAGAAATTTTCTATTCAAAATCATAGCCTGAACACACACACACACACACACACATTTTGTGAAGTTAGTGAATTGAAAAGACCTGACAGTGATAATACCAGACACCATGCTTGGTGGATACGAGGCGCAGACAGAGTACTATCCGCAATGGCATCAGCCATATAATTATGTCACTCAGCTTCCTTACGGTAAGCGCATATATAATCTTAATATTAACAATACTGATTGTTTAAAAAAATTAATTTAACTATATAACAAAGTATTTTCTCTTACAATTTTTTCGGGAATATCATTGATTCGCAAAATTGCAAATTATATAAAATTGTGTAATGTAGTTTTCAAACTATGCTCAGAATAGAGGTCTTTCTGTTAAAGGGATTATTATTAAAGAGAATATAATTTATATTATATATATGTAATATACAATAGATAATGACGTGCATGGATTATATTACTATACGAATATTAAATAAAAGATATATCGATGATTTAGATCTTGGATTATAGTCTATGTATTTTACGTTACAAGTATTTCTCCTGCGTTTGCAAATTTCTGAAATAAAATTTATTCTCTCAAATTATTTAGAATATTATTTTTTACATCCGCTGTAATATATAAATTTATATTATGTATCGCCATAGAATGTGCATTGAAGAATATTAATTTCTATACACGCGTCTAATGAAATAATCTATTTTACATAAAATCAAGGATGGAAAAATTTTGTGATGACAAAATTCGATTTTCCAATTTGCATGTAAGAGGTTGACTTTATTGTCGCTTTTCTTATCATTTTTTTTTTTTATTAATTCGTAGCAATGTTGCGGACACTTAATAATGAAAAAAACGTAGGAGATTGAACTAATAGCTTTTAACGAAAAGAATGGCCAGTAACAAAATTAATTAATTATTGGAGAAAAGTTTTTACTAATAAATGCAAATTTTACTAATAATCTCGAAGAAAACTGAAATTTAGGCTTTATTACTTAAAGAAACATCATAGAATAATGTAGCTCAGAAATTTATCAATTCTTTAAAATTGAACAGATTAAGAAACGTCATGTTTCTTTCCACATTCTCGCGCTTGGTTATCTTCTGTCAAGAGCCTCCGGAAATTATTAATTCCAAAAAAATTACTATCTCTACCTCGAAAATTATAAAACAGACGAAAAAGAAATTTTCTATTCAAAATCATAGCCTGATTATAGTCGTCGCGAATAATTTTCGTATCTTGTGAACGAATCATCTAAAGATTAATTCCACCAATGCATCTAGCAATCGTATAAAAACGCGAAACCTGTGATTTTTATACAGGGCCCCTCGGCTCGGTTCCCGACGCCGACAGTCAATCAACGTACTGGGGTGGCGCAGATTCCGGCACCTCGGGGAACAGCTCGGGGGCAGGTAGCTCCACCGCGTCGACGCCACCTCTGATCGAGGAGATCGGCATCCAGGAGACGAGCTACTCGCCGCTGCAGCAATACGTGCACCCGACGGCCAGCCAGCATTACGTTACTCTGCCGTATCCCCAGGGGCAACAGGAAACGTCGCCTCACCATCATCACCATCACCTGCACCATCACCATCATCATCAACCCGGTCACCGACGCGAGCACGAGTTCGCGAGCGCCCAGATCGGTCAGCAGGTTGTCAGCGGGGTGGTTGGTACCCTTCAGCAACATCTTCATCAGGGCGTTCGCGAGAGCGGCGTGGTACCCCCCAGACCAAAAAGGCGAAACACCGCGAACAAGAAAGAGCGCCGCCGCACGCAGAGCATAAACAACGCCTTTTCCGATCTGAGGGACTGCATCCCCAACGTCCCAGCGGACACGAAATTATCCAAGATAAAGACCTTGAGGCTAGCGGCATCTTACATCGGATATCTGATGGCGGTCTTGGAGAGCGACGAGGGAGAGGAACCGCAGACCTTCCGCGCAGAGATTCTCTCGAACGGCAGGAGAAATAAAACGACTCAACCCAATCAGGTGAGGCGTTACGATATCTTTAGTAACGATTAGAATTTATTAATATCTATCAATGTTATATAAAACGACAGGAAAAGATAATCTGTTTCTAAATGTCAAATATATGATATAATTTATAATTGATAAGAATTAGTGTTAATAATTCTTTTGAATGATATATGCATCGAGATAAAATAATATTAACATCTTTTTTTCTATCTAAAGTTTACTTCCGCCTTTATATTTTTCCCTTAATTTTTAGAACTCGTGAGATTTTTCTTCTTTCTGAAAAAAATCCTGAAGAACTTCGAGAGAGCTACTCGAAACAGCGCGCGGACAGTTTTCGGTCGCGGAACGAAAGTTTTTCGGGATGAATTATTCTATTCTCTGTGGACGAACTTTCCTAAATCTTTCAGAACGCTTTTGTGAGCGTCGTCTCAACGTAAACATTCGCCTCTTTAATTGCCCAACGTATGTCGGCCTGAGAACTCGACTTTAAAGCCATCAACGTGCTTCGAGATTTGTTAAAAATGTATCACATCGAATTTTCACACAATCATTATTAAGTTTGACAAAAACAAAGATCATAGAAAAATAATTTTGTTGATATTTATATCGACCTGTGTGATTAAAATATAAATTAATATAATGTAATACAAGAAAAAAATCCGATTAAATCATAAAAATATTGCAATTAAAAATTGTAATTTGTCTTTTAAATTTTATATAATTATCTAATAT